GTCACCACAGCCAAATTTTAGTATATGTCAGACTTGGACACGGATCTGTTTAGGGCTGTGTAGGGTTACATAGTGGAGTCTGTCTCCAAAAAAAGGTACTGAGCCCTGTATATGATGTCTTCCTCTATGCTCTTACTTGTGAGAAAGTTTAATTTATATGTGAGGGACAGTGAGAGATTCACAATAATAAATGATAAAATAGGGTAAAGAGAACTATACTTTGATAAGAAGATATTTGAAACTTATGAATTGTTCATCTGTAGAAATTTCCAGTTAAGTGTTTTCCAACGGCAATTATCTGGGAATAATTGAAATTTTGTTAGGCAAAACCGTGGATAAAGGGGACTGCTGTAAATGCTTCCCACAGTAAATATGAGTTTCTGAGGTAGAGATAGCTTATCACCTCATATTTTCACTGTTTGTTTATTGGGGTAGTCTAAATCCCTCTCCAGTTAATGATGTATCTTATCTAAAAGACTGATTCTTCATGTGTACCTAAGACAAGACCTTGTGATTGTGAGGGAGGGGGGCAATAACAGCAGCTGTCTCTGGAAGGTAATCACTGTAGCTTACGCAGTCAGGCTTAAACAATGGAGAATGAAGGCTTGCACTGCCAGATTCACTTTGATATAAAACCCACAGAGTCTCATTGTACAGAATGAGCCTTATGGGCACTGGTGGTCTGTGTCTGATGCTGTTCTGACGGGAATCAAATACAGAAGGAAGGAATCCGAGCATAAGAAAGAGCTTTACGTTTGTCGTGACTGCCAGCACATCAATTCTCAGCCTTTCCTGGGAGTTAGAGGATTTGATTGAGGGTTGGAGGGATTTATGAAGAAGGAGGGATCATAAAGAACCTACGGTTCACTACTCTTCTGATGGTGGTGGGGTCCGACTAGTGTGGTGAGGTTTGGGCTGAGCCCTTGAAGACAGAAGGCCTTCCCTGACCCCCAGTGTGAGATGAATCTCCACACTGGTGAAGTCTGACTGTTTTTTGCTCTGTTTCCATTTACACAGGTTTAAAAATAACTCCTTGCTGGTGCTTTGATAAAAATTGATTTTTCATTAAGCCTTCGTATTGATACTTCAAATGACATGTGGTTCAGTGTTTTTGTGATTTTCAAAGCTGTGTTGGTTGTCAGTCTTAACGCTTTTTACCAAATACCTCTTCAATACACTATTATTCTACTACTGATTGGTGAGAAACATTTTTATGCGTGTACTGTAAAGTAAGTTCCTTTTCTGTTTATATTTTTCTCCTGCGTATTTAGTGTCAGTAGATTGTTCAATTATTTACTAATAGAAATAATGACTTATATTTTACTCTTTCAGAAATGTGCCTGACTTTTATTTGAAATTTTTAACCTGATTTTGCTAGTAGAAATGAGCAGAATATTGTGTGCTATGTAGTTTTTAAAATTGGATTCTTGGGGCTGGTGAGATGGCTCAGCGGTTAAGAGCACTGACTGCTCCTCTAGAGGTCATGAGTTCAAATTCCAGCAACCACATGGTGGCTCACAACCATCTGCAATGAGATCTGATGCCCTCATATGGGTGTCTGGAGACAGCTACAGTGTACTCATAATAAATAAATAAATAATCTTAAAAAAAGTTTAAAAATAAAATAAAATAAAATAAAATTGGATTCTTTTCCTTAAGTAAGATGATGAGACTATTGACATAAAGTAGGAAACTTTAAGGGATTTTAAAAACCAACATTACATTTTTACTAATTTTCTTCTTTTTTATTGGCTTTTTGTTCTTGTTTGTGGAACTCTGGAACTTCCTAGGTAGACCAGGCTGACCAGGAGCTCACAGAGATGGAACCTTAGTGAGACCTTGGGAGTTCACCCTGTCTCCACTGCATTCTCCCTCAGTCCATCCGAGATGCGTTCACTCGTGTCTAGGGTGTCTGTGCGTGTTATCCATGCCCACAAGCTTCGGATAGCATGTGCTCCAAGGCTCTGACCTTGGCATTGGTTATGTCCCAGCCTGGATGAGGCTTTGTTGACTGTGAACTCACCCACGTTTACCTTGTTAGGTCCATCTCCCTTTTGCCTAGTGTGGCCTTGTCAAGTTTATTATTCAAAACTGTTATCCGAGTTGCATTTTAAACTTGCCCTTGCTTAATGTTTAACCTTGTTAAAGACAGCTTTGCTGTGGCCTCGGATAAGTTGGCAGTAGGCTGGCTTCCTTGTTACTGTTTTCAGAACTCTAGGTGGACTTCCCTAGTATCCTACCTATTCTGTTGTTTTCAATTATTGGCAAATATTGTCCTTTTATCCAACTTAATCAACACTGCTATTTGCTTAGAGGGAGAATAAAGGGACTTTAATAATTACTTTAGGGTGTCACCATGGAGCCATACAGGAAAAGCATGCCTGTTCCTTTAACAGTCTGAGGTAGTGTATCCAGAAGGACTTCCTCACATTTGCCCTCTTTATTCTGAAACACCCATACTTTCTAGGCATACATTTCCCATGAGTCACCTCGTCAGGATTTACCTTGGCCCTTAGTCCCTTGAAAAGCTTCCCTGATCTCCTATCCCATCCTTCCCCTTCTAACACTCACCAGCTCTCACCCCTCCTGGCTCCTTGCACACATCTCTGCCAGAGAACTTATCCCAACACATGGTAGCCATTAGTGTACCCATTTTCCCAGTAAGTCTCCCCACTAAAACTGATAACCTTTATAGATCTATGCTCTAGCCTGATGCCTGACATATTAGACACTTAGTCGGAAAACCAATGCCCAGCTTTCTAGAGTCCAACCTGGGAATGGAAGGTGTCTTTAGGTTTCTACCATTTATGCAATATTAAAAACAACCCCAAGGACTGGAGAGATGGCTCAGTGGTTAAGAGCATGTTTTGCTCCTGTAGAGAGCCTGTTTTGGACCCCAGCACCTAGATGGTGGCTCATGGCTATCTGGAACTTTAGTTCCGTCATGTACAGTGCCTTCTTTTGGCCTTCTTGGGCACCCACAAACACATGGCAGACACAACAACGTGGGCACTTACACAGAAGTAAAAAACAAAATATTCAAAAAAACAAAATTCAAGGACTTCTTTTTATTTACTTATTTTTGTTTGTTTAGTTTTTTGAGACAAGATCTCATTACTTGCCGGGCAGTGGTGGCGCACGCCTGTAATCCCAGCACTTGGGAGGCAGAGGCAGGCGAATTTCTGAGTTTGAGGCCAGCCTGGTCTACAGAGTGAGTTCCAGGACAGCCAAGGCTATACAGAGAAACCTTGTCTCAAACCCCCCCCCCCCAAAAAAAAAAGATCTCATTACTTGCTCATGCTGGCTTTGAACTGACTGTTATCCCTGGGTGATTTCAGACTTGCAGTCCTTATATTGAAGGCTCCTGTATGCTCAGATCACAGGCCTTACCAAGCCCCTCTAGAATTTAATTCTTAGGTAACTTCTGCCCGATGGGGCTTTGGTGCTGCACACCTTTCATCTCAGAACTGGGGAGGCAAAAACAGGAGGATATCAAAATTCAAGACCAGCTTGGTCTACAAAGCTCCAGGACAGCCAGAATTACACAAAGAAACCCTATCTCATGGGAGAAAAAAGAGAAACATCTGCCCAATGAACAATAATTCTGTTGGGTAGAATTTAACAATTATAAAAGTAAATGAAGCAATCATGTATGCAGAAGAAAGGTGGAGAAGTTAAGAGTGAAAGATAGGAGGAGAATGAGTTAGCAAAAATCTACTTAGTTACAAAGGAGCACAGGGTGACTCATTTGTGAAGCCAGGCTTGATTCAGACGGGCTGGACAGGGAGCAAAGAGCAAAGGCAATCCACGGGGAACGCAAGCACTCAGAGCAAACGGGCAGACAGGAGCTGGTGAGTACCTGAGGGAGCCCAGGGCCTCTTGCGTTATAGTCTCCCGTGTTCTAGAGGGCATGGAGGACTGGGGAATAAGCAAAACGTCAGGCTCTAGAAGGCTAGGCACGGGGACTAGTGTTTGGTTATAAACAAACGTGACACACTCAAGAGGTCAAGGCCGGAGGATCTGAGTTAGAGACCTTAGCAGAATACAAACAAACCCAAACCAACTTTCAAAAGACTGGAACAGCAGGTGGGAAGGCAAGACCTGGTACCAAATATTTAAATCAACTGAAGGGCTATGTTGGGGAAGAAGAGAAAGAGCAAGAGATTATTGAAGAGAACAATTTGAAAAGAATGGATTTAAATATGTTATCTAAATATATTATTTTATTCTCTCCAGTCTGTAAAAGGAAACAACTGTCTACATTATTTTGAGTAGCATATAAAACTTGACACATTTGGAAAAAATGAAACCTTTGTGTAATCTACACATTTGGAAAGAGACTCTGTCCTTGGCTCGTGGAGTCACGTTCTCCAGTGTGGGGTGATTAATCCCTTGGGAAAAAGTCAAGCTCCTATACTGTGTTAAATCGACCTAGAGCCTGAGCTGTGAGGTCTGATTTTATCTCTTCAGAGTATTTATCCAGTGCCTACTGTGTATTATCAGTCTTCTAGCGATGAATATATCAGGGGCAAAACTCAAAAATCCCTGTGGATGGGTAGCTCGCATGGGGATAGAAGTGGAGAAAGGAGGAACATGGAGATAGAAATAGACCGGTGTTGGAAGGGAAAACGCACTGTGGGGAACAGTGAAGGGTGAGCATGTGGCCAGCTGAGTTACATCTTTTGAAAAGGACAGGGAGCATTTAACTGAGAAAGTGGCACATGAGTACTGGCTGTTAAAAGTGACTGAGCAAACTGTGCAAGCAGGTCACAGGAAGTGCAGTGCCTCCTATAAGGTCACATCACAAGCCCTTCTAACACCATTTTCAACATAACCAGACTTAAAGCAGCAGGAGATTGCAAATGCTGTTAGAAAGGCAGGTTCTGAGGGCAAAGGGCATCTTGTGTGTCTGCTTGCTTTCTTGTAAACCTTTTACTTGACCTTCTACTTACACAAATATGACTCTGCAGTTTCTCATTCCATTGAAGCAGATACTGCATGTGTTACCCCCTTTTAATCTCTTCTGGAAGAAAACAAATGTTTACGTAATGAGATGTTCGCTGGACTGGTTTGTGGAACCAACAGTGATATAGAAAATCTGAACAACCCCTGAAGGAGTTGAGCGACAGATTGAGAAAGCTGGCACCTGGGCCATTCAGAGAGAAGGGGGACCAAGTGTTAAACTCTGAAACAGCCAGGCATGGAGGTGTCTGCTGTTAATTACAGCATCGGGACTCGGAGCAGGTTGACCTCTTAGAGTTCAAGCCCAGCTAAGATGACATAAGAAAAACCTTATCTCAAAAAATAAGCAAGAAAATCTAAAACAGCATTTCTGTTTTCAGCGTTTTAAATTGACCCACGTGACCAGCTCACTTGCTGTAAGAGAAGACTCGGCCAAAGGCAGGACTTTAAGGAGTGAGTACAGATCTGGCTGATTGCGTGGGATGGGGCTTTCTTTGTTTGGGATTCTGAAGGATTAACAATAATCATTGTTTCCTTCCCTACATAATAGCTTTCATTCTTGGCCATAAGGATAGAAGTTGAACCTTGGTGTTCAAATAGATCCTCAATAGTATGTTAGTATAACTGTAGTTCTTTTAAATATTCTTAAAACTGCAAGTGCAATTAACTTCCATTTGCTTTACTTTATGTAATGTATCATTTCTGGGGAGAGGAGTGTTTTGATTAAACAAAGGAGACTAATCATGGACCTATATACTCCAAATACACCAAGTATTCTAGTAACGTTATCTGCTGAAATAGAGGGCCTAGGAAATAGCTTTGATCCCATCTTGTGAATTAACTAGCAGTTGTGACTTAACACAAAAAATGCAGAAATGAAAGTGGGATCAGAAGACTCTTTGGAATAAATATATAGTTGCCGACTAAGCAAGACTTAACCATTGGAGGATAGCTGTCAGGAAAACATACGACCTAAAGCTGGAGATAGCTGGAAATGCCCAGTCCTTTTCTGGTTGTCACAGTTGGTATACTGGGCAGAGGTGGAGTGAAGCTTTCTATGGGTGTCTAGTCAGTGTAGACCAGATGCTGCTAAATGACCTCCTCTACACAGGACAGCTGATGACTAGGGACCGCCAGCCGCAGACGGTGGTGCTCAGGCTGATGACTAGGGACCGCCAGCCGCAGACGGTGGTGCTCAGGCTGATGACTAGGGACC